TGTGTGTGTGTGTGTGTGTGTGTGTGTGTGTGTGTGTGTGTGTGTGTTTGCTTTAAATATTTCAAGAAATTTGGGCGCCTGGGTGGCTCAGATGGTTAAGCGTCTGCCTTCGACTCAGATCATGATCCCAGGGTCCTGGGATCGAGTCCCACATTGGGGTCCCTGCTCCTTGGGAGCCTGCTTCTCCCTCTGCCTCTGTCTCTTATGAATAAATAAAATCTTTAAAAATAAATAAATAAATAAATTTCAAGAAATGTGAAAAGCATAAGCTTCACCATTTGCAGGAAGATTTACAGCTCTTATGGATCTGAACTGATAGAAACAAGGCAACTGAGAAGGCCCTATGATGACTTCTGTACCTCAGATATTACTGTGATGCTCTTCTTAGACAAGCCAAACAAGATGTTGGTGCTGAGGGCACTGAGATCAACAGTATCCAAAGATACTCACATTACCCATAATTAGGGGAAAAAACCATAATTAAGAGGTCATTTTGCACCGTCTTCCTACCTACCACACTCCTGTATTTATTTAAATACGGCAAAATGTTTAATTTGGGGGAGGGAAGAGTTTATTTCTTCCTTTTTATATTTATGTTCAATGGGCAGCATTAAATAAGCATGTATTTCATAGAGAAAACAAATATCAGAAACTATTAGTGAAGTCTCAGGAGTTTAGACACTATGCTAAAAGTCAATGAGAGATTTAGGGGAGGAAATCAAACAAGACTAATGGGGGAAAAACAGTTCCCCAGCAACAAGATGAGAAAAAAAGACCCGGGGAACAGGGAAAAAGAAGATGCAGATTTGGATTAAAAATCTGTTCAAAATGCCCAACCCCTATAAAAACAGACTGGCTGAGGTTGACCCAAGGGAAGGGTCTTTTCCCAGCTCACAGGATGAATATACAGTCTGAGTCTATAGTAAAGGATAGGTACACTGGGACTATACTGACCCAGTTTCATTATTTATATCGGGGAGCAGCCATGGCGTGGAGACATCCACAGTAGGGTCAGGAAGGACCAGGAGGGTGCTTAAACAAAGCAACAATGACAGCTCTGCAAGGGTAAAGGAAAGCATCTCATGCCTGCTAGGAATCTTCAGTCCCACCAGGCAGAATCATCAGCGATGGTCCTAGGGACCTGAAAAACCTGTCTCTCCATCTGAAAACATGATGCATCGACTGCTACTTTGTGTAATCATCCTCCCCATATGATCCTTTATCCTTATCCATTAAAAAAAAATCTAGACATACAAATGGCGGGGGTTAAAGAGGTTGGGCTAAAGATGTACACTTTGGTATCACTAGTACATGCATGGTTTATCAAATGGGGGACTTAGAGGGGCGCCTGGGTGGCTCAGATGGTTAAGCATCTGCCTTCAGCTCAGGTCATGATCCCAGGGTCCTGGGATCGAGCCCCACATCGGGCTCCCTGCTTGGCGGGGAGCCTGCTTCTCCCTCTCCCTCTACTATTACCCCTGCTTGTGCTCTCACTCTGTCAAATAAATAAAATGTTTAAAAAAACAAAAAACAAAAAAAACGGGGGACTTAGGGATCACTTAGGGACAGAATGAAGACTCAAGAGAGAAGGGGGTCCAGGGCTGGGCTTTGAGGTGCTCCTACATTTAGTAAGGGAGTGGATGAAAAGCTAGCAAAAAAGTCTATAGAAGAGCGAGGGGGCCAGAGAAAAGCCAGAAGAGTGTGCCATCAGAAAAGCCCAGATGATGTTTTAAGATAAGAAAAGCATGGTGATCTATGCTTAGTGCTGCTAAAAGTATCAAATAACATGGGGAGAAAAAGGTGGCAAGTGGATTTGGCAACAAAGGATTTTCATGTATTTGTGAAAGTCAGTATAGTGGGGAGAGAAACTAAACTGGAGTTAGAAAAAAATTAGAAGTGAGGGAGTGAAAACACTTATTTGAAAAGTTTTATGATGAAGGGGAGCAGATAACTGGATTGGTATCTGGAGGTGGATGCTGCATGAAGGGAATGTTTTGTTTCAGTCTTGAAAATGGAAGCTCTATAAATGCCAAGACTTTTGCCTCATTTCTGCTCTATCCCCAGTGCCTCGAACAGCAACTGACACCCAGTGCATAAATGCATGAATGGGAGGAAGAAGCAGGTCTCTAGTTTGACAGGGATGCTCCAAAAGAGAAGGAAAGAAGAATAATGCAGAAAGAAATGGATAACTGAAGGAACAAAGTCTCTGGTAAGACTTCCCAGAGAAGGTCACATCTAAACTGAGATTTGAAAGATGAGCAGGCACCACCTGGACGAAAGGAAGAAGCGAATGGGTATTCCAGGTGGAATGAAAGGTCCAGAGTCAAAAGAGAGCATAATAGATTTGCCTGACAAAAAGGCCAGCATGCCCACATTTCAGACTGTGGGGAGCTGGTGTTTGGTAGGAGAATGAATCTGGAGAGGTTTCCAAGGTACGGATCATGAAAGGCCTTGTAATGGAACCTTTTGAAGAACTGTAGGCAATGGAGCAGAATGGTTCGATTTTCATTTTAAATCATTCTCTCTGCAATGTGGAGAAGAACTGGAAAAAGGTCATCACAGAAAGACTACTGAAAAAGCTACTGCATATTAAGGAGGGCACGGATTGCATGGAGCACTGGGTGTTATACGCAAACAATGAATCATGGAACACTACATCAAAAACTAATGATGTAATGTATGGTGACTAACATAACATAAAAAAATTAAATTAAAAAAAAAAGAAAAAGCTATTGCAGTAACCTAGTAACAAAGGCCTCATGCTGCACACAGTTACAGTGGGGATGGGAAAGGCAAGAGAAATTTAGCAATCAACAAACCTGGAACAAGGGATTAAGTGAAGGCAGGGGAGGCTGCGGGAAGGAGAGACTTGGATGATGCCTTCAACAATGGAGATGACGAAGTTATGATTTGGCCGTTTATTACCTAATTAGTTTCCTATATCCTGCCAACATGCAAATGGCATTCTAAAGACACAAAAAGATCAAGAAAAGTAGAATGTGAAACTAAGCTGGGTTTAAAGTCTTTGCTTCTGAGCAATAGCTTCACAAGATAAATTCATTTAATTAAACCTTCAGGGTGCAAATATCATCACAAGAAAACTTAATGGAACAATGGTAATAATGACTGCATTAGGAACAGTTAGTTATGAAGTACCCCCAATCTAACACAAGAAAACCTGGCCTTGAAATGGGGGGTGGGGGGCGGGGAATGTTCCTTTAAATTAAATTTCTTTATAAGATTAACAAAATAATGTGCAAATGGTCTGTCCTTGACTCAACAGCATTCGCTAACCAGTATTCAAGAGGGAAAATGCATTTTACAGTTGACTGGAAAATGGATGTCTACAGGAAAACTGCATAAATCCTGAATTTACATATATGTGAAAAAACGGTCTTGCTAAATTTTTTTATTTAGCAAACACAGAAACTGATGATAAAATACTCTTGGGGACTCATCTTCCATTATTTCTCTGTTTTTCTTTTTTCTTTCTTTTTAAAGATTGATTTATTTATTTGAGAGAGAGAGTGCATGAGCAGGGAGGGGCAGAGGGAGAGACCTAGCATGGAACCTGATGCGGGGCTTCATCTCATGACCCTGAGATCATCACCTGAGCCAAAACCAAGAGTCAGATGCTTAACCGCCTGAGCCACCCAGGCACCCCCATTATTTCCATTTTTCAAAGATCCTAAATAAATAATAAATAAAATGACAAGCATAAGTTTGACATTTAGTAGAAATATTATATCTAGAAATGTCTAGCTTTAACTCATTTTAATACTCACAATAAAACTGATGAAAGTGTTCCATTGTTGGTACACCAGGAACAAAGTTGTAGAGATGAAACTTCAAAGCTTCACTTTTCAGCAAGCTGTAAGCCATCTCGGTAAGGTTGATTCCAACTATTGCATAAGAATACCTATGTCAGAAACATTACCAGTTATATCAGCTAGCCAAATAGCTCATAAAATAAATGTAAAATTATGCAAGAAGTTAGTGAAAAATTACTCTGATGCATTTCTAATACACTATTGGTTTTATGAACAGATAAAAGATTTTTGTTCTTTTAGAGGCTGTTGATTTTCTGGATATAATCTAAGAAGTGATAATGAAGCTTTGGCCATACAAATACGAAAAACCAAAATCCTTAAAAAAAAATAAAAAGAGTACACTCTCATTGGTTTCTAAAATACACTGGGTAATCTGACATTTTTCTCCTCCATTATCAGGGTATTTATTCTTATGATGTAATGTTGTTATAATGTTTTTTCAAAGGTAGGTATCATTGGAATATAAAAATAAAATAACGATAACGCCCTTAGTAGGACCGCAGTTGCATTTCACTTTACAATTTTCAGAGCTATTTCTCATTTTTCTATTTCAATGTCAAAGCTATTTCCATGTCAAAGCTATTTCCTATTCCTATTTTCAAATCTATTCCTCAACAAACTTTCATAAAGTCCCTTACCTCCATTTTATAGACAAACTATATCTTGTGACAAAAAAATATTGAAGTAATACAAAATTGGTGTATGATCACATTTCGCCTTAAAAATAATGTATCATGCAGTATATTCTACAAAGTTCTTATTAATAAAAATAATCTCATTTTAAAAAACACCTCAAAATACTTTCAAATTCAGATAATCTAATCAACATTTTAAAATTCAAGAATTTACAGTTTCTTTGATGTATCTGGCTTACCCTAATTTTGGATGATTTGAACGGGAAAGAATCTGGTGAGCTTCACTGGTATAATTTTCACTGAAATACCTTTAAAAAGTTGAAGAAAAATAGTAAAATTAACATACGTTATTCAAATTGAAGATATCCAGAAGAAATTTAAAAAGGTACTGACCAAGATGATAGTCTCAGTACTGCCACAATCATCCCAATCTCCACCTCAAATCACTTCAGTGACTCAGAAATGCTGGTGAATCAAAATTTAATTCTGAGGGTTCAGGCCTATCTAGTTAGTACAGGACATGGGTCCTTGGCAATGCTTTATTTTAAAAATAAATTATTTAACAAGAGACTTTCTACCTAGCTTTAAAAAAGAAATCTAGAGTTCTTTTTGTTTGTTGTTAAATTTTCTATAAAATAGTCTGTGTGTACCTGTTGAGACCTTCATCCTTTCGCCTCAGCTAACTCCTTCTATCGTAACTGAAGCCCATATTGTTTAATGCCATTTTCTGTGCAAACAGAAGAAAGGCAATAACCTTTCTTTTGCACTAAAAAAGCCCTCCTTGGTCAGTGGTATAACTGAAATGCTGGCCATAAAACGAAGTATTTGCAGGTACAATGGAGAAATACATAAAGCTACCTATTTGTAGGCTCACACATCCCGTTGGCTTATACTAATGCAACTTCTTTGAGTTCTTCAAGAGAGGGACTAAATCTTCTGTTCAACCTCCTGGGTCACCTCATGATGCACTGGTACTGAAGCACATATACATATATGATGAATGACTGGGTGTTTGTATAAGGATAAGAAGTAGAATAAAAAGTGGATTCCCATGGCTCATTTAAATTTTAGAAGTCACAATCATTGAAATTTTCATAAAGCATAGAAATTTCTAACCAAGTTTTCCCATTTTCCTTCTACAGATTAATACCATAGACTTTGATTTTTCTTTACTGGCTAATTTTCAACCCATTAAAACAAGGGTTGTTAATTCAGAAGTCCATGACTGAAGGATCATTCATGAATGAAGGGGTATCCATGAGGTTCAAATATCTGTGTAGTTTGCAAGTACCAAGAAGAAAGATGGTCTTTAAAGGCTAAGAACAAAGATACTATGTGTTCTGAAAAACAATGAATTTCAAAATATTTTATAGTTTTTCCAAGTGGAAACAAACCGCATTTATTCTACTTCAATTCCAACTGGAAGTTTGTTTATCAAAGTAGAAAACAGGCAATCTCATCTTTTGTAATTTTATTTTTAAATTTTTTAAGACTTTATTTATTTGAGAGAGTGAGTGAGTGCACGAGTGAGGGGAGGAGGAGAGGGAGAAGCAGGCTCCCCACTGAGCAAGGAGACCAATGGTGGGCTTGATCCCAGGACCCTGGGATCATGACCTGAGCCGAAGTCAGACCCTTAACCGACTCAGCCACCCAGGTGCCCCTGTAATTATTTTTGTATTGTGTTATATCTTTGGCAGGTAGACTTACAGGGAATCTTTATAATATTTATACTTATAAAATTTAGGTATTACAGAAAATTAAGTACTTTTATGACTGGAAAAAATTAGAGATATTGAAACCCTACTGTATCTTCTATTTTCCCCCAAAATAGCTTTATCCATACAGACCTATTCTCAATATTAATAATTTAGCACAGTTTTAGGACTAACTTTTTCACAGTAACAATTATCCAAACTTTGCTAATGGTTAGGTTTCCCATTCTAGGCATTTTATGGTCTATAAATCACAGTTCAAGGACAGACACTAACACTGAAATCTTTTAATTTGCATATCCACATCCATACTAATCTAGTTTACTTTCTAGAATAGTTTTGGCCATCAATTCTGATTTTAATTACATATTTTGGGATTTCATGTATGTGCCCAAGCATAAGTATTAAAGGAGAAAAAAAAAGAGAGTTCATATAGGCTCTGAAAAGTAAGGGCTTTAGATCACTTATCACAGATGTTGAAGAGTAAGTGTGAAGAGATGTTATTAGTATCAAGTTATATTTCCCAAAATGGAATTAGAGAGCCAAGAGAGAAGAGGCAAGAAGATAAAACAAATAAGAAAAAAAGTATACGTGATTCCTTACGAGGTATCAGAAAGAGAAAGGAAGAAAGGTATCAGTAAGTAAAGAAATCACACAAACATACAAAATATGTTTCCCATGTCTTCATATTGTTGCCAGCACATTAGTAAATACTTTAAGCACTGTAGCTATTAAAATTCAGAGATAGTGTGAAACGACTAGGTCAATTCTTCTTAGAACTTAACAATATTGGAGGTTACCCATCATTTCACTTAGAGAAGAAGAAAAAGTTTATTTCACTTACACAAGATTGATTAATCCAAGTATGCCCATGCCTCTGAAGTCAGTTTTGGGATCATCACCCTGGAAACCAATGTCAGCCCACTGCTTGGAGATTCTAGCCTTCAACTTTTTCGTGGGCATTAGAAGATTCCAAAGCTGTACAAACATACTTCCATATTACAAATAATAGCGATGTTCTTAATTTACTAAGACATTTTTCTTCTCATAGCTGACATACAAGTAAGTTGAATGCTTTCAATTAAACAGCTTTAGTAGATAAATCACAGGGGTTCAACAAAGACTGTATTTAGAGAACTTATCAATTACCCTAAAAAACTTTACTTATTCCAATTTAAAAGACTAATATTAAGAATAGTAGATTTGAAAAAAGTGACAAGTACACAGAAATCGAAAACAATGAGATATCTTTATTTACTAAAGTAATATATATATATACACATACATATACACACACACACACACACACACATATATATATATACCAGGACTGGTAAACTGCCTCCTTAAGAGAAAAAACAAAACAAAACAAAACAGTGTTAGGTACTTGGTCCTTCGCTCAAACACTACATACTTAAATAGGCTCCACTCTAATGGTGGGTGATTGGTCCCTAAACAGAAGAAGGGAAACGGAGGGAATCACGAAGAAGTAAGACTGACAGGATTTCAATCCGTATGATCATTATTTTACAAATTTTCATAATTTTAAAAGAAAAAATAATATGGCTTGGTTTTAAGTAAATATGTTCCTTAAGACTGAGCACTTAAGAACAGCAATCAAATATTAGCAACAAACTGACCAACGCAAAACAAAGTTTAAAAAATTTAATCATTTTCTAAATTCAACACCACAAGTCATCAAACAAAGCAGACTTACAAAAGTTGTTTAAAAAGTTTGTAAATATTTGCAGAACAGAAATACTTGCATGTTTTTTTCCATTTCACTACCATTTCAGGCATTGTTGAGTAAAGGACTCCTAATGAAAGGAGTATCCTGTCACCTAAAATAAAATGTGAAGACTTGTGACCTTACTTTAAGACAGGGTCAGGACTCTGGCCCTGAAGCTAATCCAATCATTAGATTGGGTTTTTATCTGGTCCCTTCTCCTTTTACTAACACATCAGTGTCTCTCCATGGGTTCAGCAAGGGGTTTGATTATGCCAGTGATAAAGTCTCAGTGATGTGGGGAGAGACACAATAAAACCAGTAATAGTCAAATGTTAATATGCATAAATAATCAAATTTCTGGGTTCTACCCCTGGAGATTCTGATTTCATGGGGCCAAAGTGGAACCTTAAATTCTAAGTATTAAGATATTGGTTAACTGTAGTGAAGGTGGTCCTTAAACTACACTTAAAGAAACACATACCTACATAGCTCTTTACCCACAGAGACTGCAGAGTATATGCAGTGGCTGAGTGATTCACCGCCCGCAACTGGCTCCTTACCTTTAAAACTGAGTCTCATAATGAATCAACAAGATAAAAATTCCCTTGATTAAAATGCTAGGATGTGTATTTTACCCCTTCTAAAGGGAAGGTAATGTGTAGAAAGGGTCAGAAGTTATGGGAATAATGATAATAATGAAGATACAAATGGTGGCCAACCCCCAGTGAGTGCTAGGCACCATTCTAAAACTTCTTAAATATAAAGGTTCAGTCTACACCAACAGGCCTTTGAGGTACGTTTTTTCATTATCCTCATTTTACAAAATCAAGTTTTATTTTTAAATTTAAAAGTAGGTGAAGTGTATATTTATACCTTCTCAGAAAAAAAGGTGGTTTTTTTTAAAACTTGTCTGTTTACTTAGATATTACCTGTTACATAAATATTATCTGCTACTTAGATATTATCAATGTCTCTTTCCACAGCATTTTTAGATATAACATAAACTCCTAACTCCAAGTACAATGTGCTATGTTCTTTGACTTTAACCATTTAAAAATGAAATTGCCCTAAAAGCAAATTACTTCATCTCCTCTGGGCCTTAGAATCCTCATCCCTAAAACTAAAATGAAGGTGGCAGACTAGATGATCTGGAAAGCTTACTCCAGGTTTAATAATCTCTACTTTTGGCCTCTCACTGGCCTTATGTATTTATACTTTAGCAATAAGAATTAGGAAAATTCAAAGTAAATTTCATTACTTTCTTAATTTTCAATGTATGGTGGCATTATTTGGCAATTCACATTCTGCAAATCCCAAAATATATGACATAATAATATGAAAAGGGACAGTCATGTTTACAATTTGAAAGTAAGCTGAAAAAAATGCCCAACTTATACGAGCAATTTATATAAAAAGTAGGGGGAACGTCTGAAGCTTGTGGACTCACCAGTTGAAAAGATCCCTCTATTAATAAGTTTATAATTTATTTCAGAATTAAAAGCATTAAAATAAAACTTATGTGAATATATTTTAATGAGGCTTATCAGAAAATTACAAAAATAGGTACATCTTTCACCAACAATAAGGGGCAAAGAAATTGAATGACTGTATAAGCCTCTAGAATTTGCACACAGACTTTACTACCTCAAATACAGAAAACAAAAACTTACCTTGAGAAGCAGCTTTTCATGTTGGAGGTTATCAGAATCATATGGCCTTTTCCTCACACTTTCTACATCCAAATAGAGCTGTTTATAACCAGATATCTGCAGTAAGCACGCCTTCATACAGATTTTAAAACTGAAAATGAGAAAGTTATTATTTCTAAAAATCATACCTTCTATCACAATAAAGTAATGCCTTCCATAGCTTGTGTTTTTTCTGTCTGTCGAGAAAGCATTTCCTCAATTCCTCATCTTAGAGAAGTGAGAGGGTTGAACTGGATGAACTCTAAAACCCCTTCAGATCCAATGTTTTACAATTAACTGTGTGTGATCTCCACACCTCACAATAAAAGTAGACCATAAAAACAACATACCTGGCATCCTTCTCAGGGTTAATATTCTTTTCCTTCATTATATCTTCCACACATTTGTCCACTTCACTCTGGACAACAAGAGTCGCTTTCTGTAAAACCTATTTATGTGAAAGAAAACAGAATGAGGAAAATCTCTTAGAGCTGAAAACAGAACACTAAGTTTTGGGTATTGAGTCAACACACAGTGCATATATTAAAATGCAAAATGAAACCAAATTTGTTTCACCAAGGCTAAAATCATACATACATATCTACATACATGCATGCTTACATAAATACATAAAAGAGAAGCAGCATGATGTGAAGAAGGCTTCCTCAACTGAGTATCAACAGGGTCTCAACTGATAAGTTCTTAACATATGAGCTCCCACCATAGTGGGCGTGTGAAGCAGATACTTTTTATAAAATTTTTAAATTACATATATGTGTACAAAAATTTTAGTGCAGAAGTCAAAAAACCTTTTAAATTCAGAAGAGCAAAAAGAAGAGAACTCAAATATTCTTGTAATTATTTGCCACCACCAGAGACAGTCACTGGTAACAGATATCCTTAGTCTTTTTTCTATTCACATAAAACAGATTTCTTACATTATATGCCCTATAAATGTCCACTGGATCATTCTTTCAACAAACAAGCAAGTTCAGGACTTTTTTTACCCTTAAAAAGTTTCTTTAACTCTGATCCCTCTGTAGACTACTAACAAAATCCTTGCTGGTATCTCTTATAGCCCCAGGCAAAATATTCTCATCATACCTGAAGTTATGCTGCTGCATCTCCTGGGCCTTTCTTCTGGAATGTTCCTTCCCAATCACTAAACATATCAATGCTGCCCATTTTTAAGCTAGCTCACATACCAGGTCCAAGAAGCTTTCCCTGATTCTATTCAAGTGGAATTAACCTCTCCTCTCTTGGAATCCCCATAGTAATTTATCTATAACCTTTTTATGATGCTTTCTACTTTCTAAATTAGTTACTTTTATATATTAAGTGGAAAATTCTTTGAGCACAGTGATTGTATCTAGTTCATCTTTTCATATCCTGCATGTAAAAGATAATTGACAAGTAACTGTTAAATGGAGATATTTAACAGATAAAAACCTTAAGAAAGGCAACTGTTTCAGTAAAAGACGCATACAGCAATGCATACGATTATTTAAAAGAAGGAAGAAAAGGAAGGAAACAAAAAGAAGGCTCCTCAAAGTAAATGAAAAAGTAAGAAGGAAAATGATCAAAGACTAACAGTTGGTAAGGATACACATATGGTCAAGGTCTAATTGGTCAAATCCTGAGGTAACATGGCTACAGGAAAGGTCTTGAACCTTAAAACCCAGCGCTAATGAAAGGGTTACCTTTACCACAGATAGAAACCTTTTGCTTCCTGAAACATGAAAAATCTAGTCAAATATCACCTCCTTTTGTGAAGCCTTCCTCAGCCACTGAGTTGGCTACTCCCTTTTATGATCATACTCAGTGAGAAAGCACTTAGGATACTGTATTTGCTTACTTTTACAGATTTGACACCAGGCTTTGTCTCTCTTACATACTCTTATATTATGAATGAATGAATAACTGATTGAATGAACTAGCTCAAGGCCAAATAAACTTAGAGACAGAGTTCACATTAGAAATAATGTCTAGGGGCGCCTGGGTGGCTCAGTCATTAAGCGTCTGCCTTTGGCTTAGGTCATGATCCCAGGGTCCTGGGATTGAGCCCTGCATCAGGCTCCCTGCTCAGCGGGAAGCCTGCTTCTCTCTCTGCTGGTGTTCCCTCTCTCGCTGTGTCTCTGTCAAATAAATAAAATCTTTAAAAAAAAGAAAAGAAATAATGTCTAGTCTCTCAGCAAATACTTTTCCTATAGACACTACTCTTACCACTTTTTATTTTTAAGATTTTATTTATTTGAGAGAGAGAGAGAGAGCATGCAAGAGAGAGCATGAGCGGGGTGGGGGTGGGGGGGCAGAGCAGCAGGCAGAGGGAGAGGGAGACGCCGACTCCCTGCTGAGCAGGGAGCCTGATGTGGGACTCGAACCCAGAATTCTGGGATCATGACCTGAGCCGAAGGCAGATGCTTCACCTACTGAGTCACCCAGGCGCCCCAACTTTGTTCTTTTAATAGATTACTTGGGCTATACTAGGTACATTACATTTCTGTATAAACTTTAGAATGATCTTGTCACTTTCTTCAAAAATAGCTTGCTGGGATTTTGACTGGAATTGCATTGAATCCATTTTTAAGCTAGCTCACATACCAGGTCCAAGAAGCTTTCCCTGATTCTATTCAAGTGGAATTAACCTCTCCTCTCTTGGAATCCCCATAGTAACCTTTTTATGATGCTTTTACTTTCTTAACATCTTAACATGTTAAGAATTAACATCTTAGCAATACTAAGTCTTCCTATTGATGACTACCACCTGTATCTTTCCATTTTTAACTTCTCTTAGGAAAAGGAGTTTTAGTGTAGAAGTCCTGTGTGGCTTTCATTAATCATTGAATATTTTATGTTTCTGAATGCTACTATAAGTGGTACTGTTCTTTTATCTTGTTTTCTAAAAGCTTGTTGCTAACTTACAAAGCATACTGTGTCCTGAGACACTGCTAAACTCATATATTAATAATGCTAGTAGTTTTTGTAGACTTCTTAGGGTTCTCTGCACTCACAAACTGCATCATCTGTTAACGAATAGTTTTTTTTCTTTCTTTTCAATCATTGTATTTTAGATTTCTTTTTCTTATTGGACTACCTAGGACCTCCAGCACAATGCTGGAAAAAAAAAATCAGAGAGCAACCATCTTTGCTTTGTTCCCAATTCAATGTGGGAGCATTCAATATTTCAGTATTATATATCATGTTAGCTTCATGTTTTCCACCGATGGCCTTTATTAGGATGAAGAAATTCCTTCTATTCCTAGCTGAGTTTTTAATCATGAATGGGTATTGAGTTCTGTCAAAATAGTTTTTCAGTATCTATTGCAATGATCTTATTCTTCTCATTTACTTTGTTAATGTGGTGAGTTACATTCATTGACTTTGAAAACTCAATCGTGATGTATTATTCTTTTTATAGATTACTGGGATCAATTTGCTAATGAAGAATTTTTGCATCTGTGTTCTTGAAGGATGATTTACAATTTTCATTTATTATACTGTCCTTGTCTGGTTTTAGTGGGTTATACTGGCTTCACAAAATGTGTTTTTTCTACTTGATGTTCTAGGAGTTTTTGTAATAGTGGTATTATTTCTTCTTAATGTTAAGAGTTCACTAGTAAAGAAGGGTTTTTGGTGCAAAATTTTTTAATTACAAATCCCATTTATTAGGTATATGGCTATTTATATTTTTAAATTTCATTTTGTTTTGATAAATTGTATTTTTCAAGGACTTTGTCCCTTTCATCTAGGCTACAGAATTTATTGGCATAAAATTATTCATAGTATACCCTAATACTTTTAATGATTGTGGTCTGACACCTCCTCTATCATTCCTGATATTGGTAATTTGGGTTTTCTCTTTCTTGATCAGTGTTGCTAGGGGGTTATTAATATCACTAAGAATCAAATTGTTTCAAAGAATCAAATTTGAGTCTGTTATTTCCTATTTTTGTCTGTTTACCATTTTGCTAATTTATCTTCTTTTTATTATATCCTTTCTTTTACTTACTTAGGGTTTAATTTGCTCTTTTCTGGTTTAAAGTGTAAGCAGAGACCATTGATTTGAGGCCTTAAACATCACTCAAGTAAATTTTTTAAAAAATTTCCCTTGTGAGTTCTTTTCTGATCCATGAGTTAAATTTTTAATTTCCAGATATTTGGGGATTTTCTAGATGTCACACTTTTCTTATTTCTAAGTTAGTACTGTGCAGGACAGAGAACATACTCTGTGTAAGTTCAAACCTTTGAAATTTATTGAGACTTAAAGTCTCATATATTGACATACCTATATGAATGTTCCACGTGTACTTGAGAATGTGCATATTGCTTTTGTTGGGGGTAGCATTCTATAAATGTCATTTGGGTCAAGACAAAGTATTGTTCAAAGTATTGTTTGTAAAAGTATTGTTCAAATGGTATACATCCCTTCTGATTTTTTTGGTATTTTTGTACTGTCAATTATTGAGAGAAGTATATTAAAATTTTCAACTACAACGGGGGATTCAAATATTTGTCTCTTTAGTTGAGTCAATTTTTGCTTCAAGTATTTGGCAGCTTTGTTAGTAAGTGCATATACTTTTAATATTGTTGTATTTTCTTGATAAATAAACCCTTTTATCATTATAAAAAAAATTCAGTCACTGATAATATTCCAAGTTTATGTTTTCTGAAACAAAGACACAACAGCTTTTTTATTCTTAATTGTTTGCATGGTGTATCCTTTTGCTTTCTATTTGTGTCTTTATGTTTAGAGTATACTTCTTGAAACAACATTCAGTTAATTGGGTCTTACTTTTTATCCATCTGTCAATCTCTGGCTTATTCTCTAACTTTTTGTTAGGTCTTTGTTTCCTCATCAAAAATAAAATAGCAGCCTGGATGGAGGATAAATATAAACCATTACAGCATTTTCTAAGTTCATTTTGAAGGTATATTCAATACTGGAATATATAGTACTTAGAGAGTTTCTAAAGTCAGCAATTCTACTTTCTTTTTTAATCTCAAACCATGTATGTACCCAAAGACTATTTTCCCAATGTCATTTAACTTTTTACTAAAGAAAACACAGGTGATAATAAAGAATAAGAGAACCACAAATACGAATCACTTATCATATACTTTATAAAAAAATTGTATGTGCTTATGTATTTTATTTTATTATAAAACAACACTTGATGAACATAAAAGTAAAACAGTCTTTTTTTTTATCACATCTACCTTGAGAATAGGTTACAAATTAAATGATTAACACATATTCCTAGGCAGTAAATGTCAACAGTGAGTTTCACTAAGCAAGTAAATTTGGGGATATTACACATACAGAGTATGAATGTTTCATTTGTGAACCACAACGCCTATGTGGTTATATACTTAAAAGCTAGGTACTTACAAAGTCTAGCTTTTGCAAAATTAAAGACAAAAAAAATGCAAATGTACATCACTATACCATACCATCAACCCACAGACAACTAAACTGATGCCATAAAACTAATTTATTATTCAACAGCTAGAATGTTATTATTTAAAAGCTAACACAGCAGCTGCAATTGAAAAGCACAGCCAGGGCGCCTGGGTGGCTCAGTTGGTTAAGCGACTGCCTTCGGCTCAGGTCATGATCCCGGAGTCCCGGGATCGAGTCCCACATCGGGCTCTCTGCTCAGCAAGGGAGCCTGCTTCTCCCTCTGACCCTCCCCCCTCTCATGTACTCTCTCTCTCTCTCATTCTCTCTCTCTCAAAAAAAAAAAAAAATTTTTAAAAAAAAAAAAAAAAAGAAAAGCACAGCCAGTCAAAAACACTATTAGATTGACAAAGTGTTCTTTCCCTCAGTTTCAAACACCTGTATATGAGTTAGGACTGTGAGGCTTTGCAACGTTACCATACACTGCACAGCAGCCAGACTTGTTAGCACAATACTGAATTCGACTGCTCAAATTCTAAAACAGTTTTCATTTTCATTTATAAATCCTAAAGTTTAGTAACCCTTAATATAGATTAATAAGTAGTCCTTAGCCTGAAATACAAGTAAATGAGACTCAATTTTTAACAATCAAAGACTTTCCACTATGAAATAGTTCACAACCCAGTAGGATCATACTATCACTGCTTTAAGGAACTGGCCTTAATAGATGAAAATCATTATTATTCACAGCAATTATCAGTAATGTTAAGTATTTAAATACCTAAGAAGTGTTCATGAATATTTTAAACTTCTAAAAATCTTGTAGAATATATTGGTTTAATCCCATCATCATTAATATTACTAACAACTAGTATTTGTTGCATAACCTATCATGTACTAGGCATTCTTTTAGACTGCTTTCATATTAATATCTATAATCCTAAAACAATCATGTGTCTATTAACACCTCCTTTGATGATGAGAAAATAAGTAACCTGCACAAAAGTCAAACTATTAGCAAGTGATAAAATCAGGATTTGAATTCAGACTTTTCTCATACCAATAAAAAAGTAGATCAGATTAATAAATATCACAAAATCGGAATTTGATTTTACTCTACAAAGCAACTGGAAGTATAGAAGTGAGATACAATACATACCAGAAATGGTATGTTTAAATTGATGAGGCTTCCTCCATTTGTTTATTGACAAGTTTACCTTAGATCTAAAACTTCAAGAAAACAAAGTTTCTGTGATTTAATTCAGTAAGGAACTACCCATTTGTTGACTATCCTTTTTTTCAACATGCCCTACGTAACATTATTAGCAATCTACACTTTTAATAATAAAATTGTTGGTTTTTTGTTTGTTTTTAAAGATTTTATTTACTGGGGCGCCTGGGTGGCTCAGCTGGTTAAACGACTGCCTTCGGCTCAGGTCATGATCCTGGAGTCCCGGGATCGAGTCCCACATGGGGCTCCTTGCTCAGCAGGGAGTGTGCTTCTCCCTCTGACCCTACCCCGTCTTGGGCTCTCTCTCTCTTTCACTCTCTCTCTCTCAAATAAATAAATAAAATCTTAAAAAAAAAAAAGATTTTATTTGTCAGAGAGACAGCGCTCACAAGTAGGGAGAGCAGCAGAGGGAGAGGGAGAAGCAGACTCCCCACTGAGCAGGGAGCCCGATGAGGGACTTGATCCCAGGACCCTGGGATCATGACCTGAGCTGAAGGCAGATGCTTAACCGAGCCACCCAGGCATCCCAATAAAATTGTTAACAATACAATTTTAATGTTTACTTTTCAAGTGGGCTTTTGTAGTCAGTAAATCAGATAAAAAAGAATAAACACTGTATTTTTCTTTAACTCATTACCTCAACCTTAAAGTTCCCAATAAAGTTTACCTATACCTTCTCTAAATGCCTATTCATAATTACATTCAACACTGCTCTTTATTTCTTTTGTGTATCCCAAAGACCCTGTGGAATACTGAACATATAGCACCATTCAAATCTTTGGTCAAGGATTTCGACCAAGGCACTAGAGTTCTTAAAAAGCAACATCTTATGTATGGTCCCACTTAAGTTTGGCATAATTATACCACACATGAAGTCCCATTAGTAAAATCTGTGACCAAAACTGTTGTTACAATCAGTTGTAGTAACAACAGTTACACAGACAGCTGTGACACTGAGCTGCTGGTTTCAGAACTTCTCTAGAGGTTCTTCCACAATTTATTATGTTACTCGGTGACACTGCATCCTAAGTTTCAATTAATGGAAGGAACTATATGAGTGGATAAATTTTTAGAACCAGCAACTTATTAACTTTTTAGACCCCTACATTCTTATTAAAAAAAAAAGAAAAGAACAAGAATATTAATCACTCTCTAGGATTCTGAACAAAAGGACTCCAGACTCTTGTTCCCCCAATATATACTCATGTATATGAGTTATTCTTACCTTGACCATTCATAAAAAAAGACTGTTAACTAAATCAATAAGGCACTTACTTTATAGGTCACTCCCCAGAACATAACTGATATGCTTGCAACATTCAACAATGCCCACTTTGCATGAATTCGTAACTCCTATCAGTTATCACTAGACAATAGCAAGTCAACAGTTTTTTATTCTATTTTTTACCCATGTACAATGTGGTAAAAATAGAATTTGAACACTACTGTTCAAAAGAAATATAATGCAAGCCAAAATGTGAACCATGTACATGACCAAGTACAAACTTACCTATGGATATCTAAAATATAAATAGATGCACACACACAGATAACTAAAATTAAAATTTCATAAAACAATATTTAACCTTATTATAACCAGTGTTATCTGGTTATTTTCTATTCTATTTCTTTTGTTTTGTTTAATGCTGGCTGTAATCTACTATGGGATTTTAAACAATGACCTAGATGACCCATACTCTACCTCTGCCATACCAAATAATCTATATATATACAGAGAGAGAGAAAATTGTGAACTACTATAGAGAAGTACAGGATGTAACAGACTGAATCACTGGTTCCAATTTTTCACTCCCCTATAATTAAATTATACACTCACATGCTTACCATGGCTTTGTAGTGGGCACAGTATATTTCTCTACTCCTTGACTTGGGCTGGCTATGGAACTTACTTTAGCTAATGGGATGTTAATGAACATAACAGGAGGAAATTTAAAAAATATGTCTGTGTGGTTGGACATTCAATGATCTACTGTAAGAACATTCTCCAAGTACCCACTACCTTTTCAACTGGGTTCCATAATGACACAACTGGAACAGACCTGAACTTGGGACTAACTTGAAGAAGAATCTCTCCAGTTGGCTCAAAGACCATAGGCAAGAAATAAACAATGTCTTCTTATATATGCCCCTGAGATTTTATAAGTTTGTTACACAGCAAAAGCTAACAAATAGCATGAGGTATGACTTATTTTGGATCAAAAGGCATGTGATTCAGGGTTTGTTTTTTAAGTAACTATCCAAAATTGCTTTTCTCTCACATAAGAATCTATCTGAAGGACACAGTTTATGAGGTTTTTCCCTTAAGAACTGCTTTCCCAAAGGCCATCAAGTTTTGAAGCAAAATAAAAAAACAAAACCTCAGCTAAGGACAAATTATTCAAATACCTTCTTTGTGCACCAGTAGCACACTAACATACAAACAGAAAATGTTTCAAAAATAAAATAATACTTTTAAAGTGGGAAATTTCATGTTAATACTCTACAGCAAAGATTCTTCTCGTAGAACCTTAAAAATAATTAATTCTAAAACTGGGGCATTCTTTTAAAGAAAAAGTATCTCCAGGTTAAGTTTTCTAGAATTACCACCTTGATATAATCCTACCTTATTCTTGGAGTATGTCAAGGAATTTTCTGAAATAAAGAAAAAAAGAAAAAAGAATTTTACCACTTAAATGTTGTTTGTGAGTTAGTCCATAAACAAATAATATAAATATCAAGCCAGTAATAAGTTAATAGTTCTAGAAGATATAATTTCTATGTGTATAACACAGCAAACATTTTTAAATGTTATCCCCACAGTATAGAGAACTAGATATGATTCCAAGATCCTCAACCCAATGCAACACACCAGAGCCAGAGAGGTGAGACCATCCTAATTTCCCCCAGGGTCATGTTTCTGTGCAAACCCCCAAGTGTCTACTAACCACTGTATATTCATTCATGGCTGCCTCACAATAGCTTAGGTTCCAGAAACTCATCTAAAGAACATACAAGGAAAGTGCTATCTACTACACTTTCTTCATTTGTTGGCCTTATGGAGTAAGCATTTAGATTTGAGGAGCCAGTGACTGAATCATACAACAAAGGGGCAAAAATGTAATGACTTAGATTATATGGCCAACTATCTTCTAACCAGACAAAGAGTAAAGGAGTTTCTCCATTCTCGTCTTCTGTTTCAAGAATGACTAGAACATTTTTACTAGACTATTTAAACATTTTTTTCTGGCACATTTACTAAGTCTCTTTATTCTCGGCAATTTGAGAAATTCAAGAAAAATGGTTTTGCCACAAATTAATGCCTTAATATGTTCTTTCCCCATAGTACAAAACATAAACCATTACTTCTAAGATTTCTTATCAAGAGGTACTTTGTTCTTAGAGCAGCCAAAAGGGCAAATCAAAAGAGCAGGCAGTAATTGAAGTCAGTCACAAAGTTGTGAAAAAAAACTAGGGAAGTAATTAAACTTCAATCATCCAGCTGCCCTGAGGCTTACTCCCTCCTTATATCTCCCATTCTTCCCATGTTGCCTTGGATACCAACACCCACTCCCTAGATCTCACAGGAGTGGATTTCTTAGTTGAAGTACACTTGTTCAACACAAAGGAGGATTTAGTTAAGTCATGATTTTCCATTTAACACAGTGAACATGAACTGTAGCCAATCCCTGGTCTTCCTTACTCTGGTCAAAGAGTAATTACCTCAACCACATTTCTCATTCCTCTGTGTTCTAATTTAAAGCAATATTTTCAATTAAGCACTGAAAGCTGATGAAATTTAGAAGGTAAAAGAACACTACTGTTCAAAAGAAATATAATGCAAGCCAAAATGTGAACCATGTGTGTACTTTAAAATTTTCTAGTAGCCACATTAGAATAAAAGAAACACATAAAATTTATATATTTTAACCCAATACATCAAAAATATTATCAACATATAATGAATAGAAACAATTATTAATGAGGTATTTCTATATTCCTTTTTCATATAAAGTCTTGGAAACCCAGGGTACATTTTTTATATTTCAGCACATCTCAAGTCACACTAATCACATTTCAAGTGCTCAATAGCCACATGTGGCTACTGGCTACAACACTGGACAGTGCAGACTCTGATGTAATAATCTTTCCCATGGATCACTACATACCTATTACTGTTCTTTCATGAATTACATAAGAGACTAAAAGACTGATGAAAGTGCTGACTATAAAAATTGATCTAGATTCAGATACTCTTCCCCATCATTTAAGTGAAAATTTCAAAGAACATAGAAGTATAAAGATTTTTCTCTGAAAAATAGGTTGCAACTATAATCTAAGGTACAACTGATGAATTTCAGGAGCCACAGAAGATCATTCTTTGTACAGACGTGGAACTAAATTATAATGACTCTTTTTCTCTAAAAGCATAGTTTTAGAGCTGGAATCATTTAAAGCTAGATTTCAAAGATTAAAAAACTAAATTTAAGTTTCTGGATCAGGATACACAATGAGTACATCTGTCACTATCAATATTGAGAAAAAAATTCATTCAGAGTTAAAATTGATTTATTCTTTTTCAAATAACATTACCTATCCTGTGTGTCCTTTGTGCACCTACATAGGTATCAAAAATTCGCTGCAATTCACATTTTCCAGTCATCTGTCGCAAGAGCCATTTCATCCAAAATCGAAAAAAGTGCCCATAGAAGAACTCCCACAAAGAAATAAACATTTTTTTTTCCTGGAGAAGGAAATATATGACAGATTTAATGACCTTAAATTAGATTTAAAAATGGAAAAAAAAAGTTATTTCGACTTGTCAAATCCCAAATTATATCTACGTTATTCCATTGGGTCTATTTTGTAGTAGTATTTAGGCATGTAAGAAAACAATGACAGATGTAATAAATACCATTTAGATCAGTTAAATAATGGATGGTCAAATGGTCAATTTACCACTTTTTAGGAATTAACTGTAAAAATCAAACTACCTACTTAGATTCAACTTCTCAGTTCCCTATGTTCTCATCTTTGAGAATGGGGCTCAACAGTTTAAGAACAAAAGAGACCCAACTTAGCAACAATTAAGTCAAATATGCCATACATCTGAATGGTTTGTATAATGAAGAGTTCTTTTAACCCCTATGTATAATTCCAGTTACATCTGTCCCACCGTCAGGAGATTCCAGGAAATAAAAACACGACATATGGCTTACAAATTGAAGTATAAAAGTTGAACACAGAGTAGATCACACCCTGGCTAAAAACTGATTTTCCATTCAAGAGGTGAAGGGCAGAAATACTAAGAGTAATAAGCTACACCCTCGACAAAACTGAATCTTTATGCCATTAGAAAAATCTTGAAGGGGATTGGGGGGAATAGAAGTGAGAAGTTATTTTAAAATAAAAATGCTTTATCTCCTTTCTGCCTTCAACATTCCCATAGATACATCATCTCTAGACCACGGCCTGAGGGACTGTCAAATTTGAAATCCCCGCAGGTCGGTGCAGAAGCAACGCCCATCGTCAGAGATCGGCAGAACTGCGACTTTAAAAAATGAATCCATCCAGTCCGCGCTCGATAGGACAAAAGAAGCAAGAACTGCCAAGCGCAGGGAACGCAAGCCTCGAGGGCGCCTGAGCTCCCCAGACTTCGGGGAGTCGCTGCGCGGAACCCCCCTTCCGGAGCCCGGCCGCGCTGCCCGCGAGTGGGAAAGTACGTCTCGCACAAAGCCCCGCCGGCCTGGGCACCCCACGGTTTTCCTTAGGACACCGAGGGGCTCAACCAGCCCGCGCGCCCTCAGCGCAGCCGCACCAAAGCAGCGCGGGGCAAGAGGAAAAGAAACGGCAGCCACCTCACAGGAGCTGAAGAACTAGGGGGGAAGCTGGAGTTGCCTCGGTTTCCCCAACTGCAAACAGCCGGCAACGGAAACGACGCTACTCGCGCAGCACTCCCTGCAAGCACCGCGACCCGGAAGTCGGGGAGGGAGGCCGCGGGAACGCCTTCCCGGGGACACTGCCCACCCCTGCCCCGCCCCTGCCCCGCCCCTCCCGCCACTCCGATTGGCCCGAACTCCACCAATTGCTAACGCTAGAAGGAGGTAGCGCTGAGTCGCTGGCGCGCGTGCTCAGGTTCTAAGGACGCCCAACGGTTTCCCTGGCAACGGCTACCTGGAGGCACGCCCAGCGCCAAAGGTTGGTCTCAGAAGGTCTCAGAAGTGCCGCTCTGGACGTATTTCTCGCCTTAAACCTCAGATCATTTGCGCTGACTGAAACTGCGTACCACTCCTAAACTCCAAGAACTCACGGGAGAAACGGCGTACTTTCAGTAACTTTCATAGCACCAAGGTTGCAAAAGCACTTTCACCTACATTTAATCTTAATTCTGCGAAGTAATTATTAATAGCTCTACTTTATAGATGAGGAAACGGGATTTACGTTTCATGACTTGCCCGTGGCTAGTACATGGCAAAAAAAGGAGAGTTCTTTATGTTGAGTAAAGAAGTTGGGACTTTGTTCTAAACCTAAGAGAATCTGGAGGAAGAGCATTCCAGGCCCTAGAACCGCAAGTGCAGAGGAGAATACTTCATAAATGGGAGAAAGAGCAAGAAGGCCAGTGTGGCTGGAGGAGAAAAGAACAAGGGGAGAGTAGAATATAAGGACAAAGGACAACTTCCACTGAGAAATAACTCACCCCTACCCACCCACAACTCCTGATCCCTCAGCCCCTTTTCTCAAAAGCAACCAGTATTAGTTTCTCGTTTATAGCTCCAGGAATATCTTATGCAAGTGTGTATTTGTATAATCCCTGCATCCCCTTGCTAACACACATTGCAGCAGCAATACACACTTTTCCACACTTCAACATTTTTTCAAAAGGTGCTAATTGTAAAGCATTAGACATGTGAAGCTCCATAGAAGCAACCAACACTCAACTTGGTAATGAAAACTGGACATGTACTGTAATAATAAAATCAGAGAATCTCAGATCTTGAAGAGAATGTAAAGATCATCTCATTGAATTTTTTTTTTTAAGATCTTATTTATTTGACAGAGACACAGCGAGAGAGGGAACACAAGGAGGGGAAGTGGGAGAGGGAGAAGCAGGCTTCCTGCCGAACAGGGAGACCGATGAGGGGCTCGATCCCAGGACCCTGGGATCATGACCTGAGCCGAAGGCAGATGCCTAACGACTGAGCCACCCAGGCGCCCCTCACTGAATACTTTTTATTGTTAATGAAAAAACTCAGAAAGGCAAAGTACAGAGCCAATTTGACAAGTTAAGAAGTAGAAACAAACTTCTATTTCAAGGGTCTTTCAATTATTACACAAGATCTTTGTATAATTGAAAGTGAGATAATCCTGTAGTACAAGTATATAATCCTTTTATGTTTTATTAAATTTGCTATACTGAGAGTAGGGAGTATAAAGAGGAACTCTCTCTTTGTCTCCATGCTGCCTGTTGGGACACTCCTATCCATGTTTTTCTCCAAGAGAAAGTAATGGTAACCTGTTTTGTCAGAACCTGAAAAATTGATTGAAATGCATTTATTGGAAGCAAAGTCATTGTACATTAAAATGTCACGTGCATATGATTGCCTCTTCTATTTTCCACTAATTCATTTGCATGTAACTGGCAGATATATTAAGCCCTTCTTGTCTCTCAGGGAAGATTGTCCTTCTCTCTTTCTCTCTTATTCTCTTTGGTTTTCTTCTTCCATGTGGCCGGCTAAATGATGGTTAACTTTGGGATTAGAATTCTGGCTTCAAGGAGAAGATGGGACCCTACTTAAGTCTCTGAACTAATCTGTATGCTTCTACCTGGCCCTATCAAATCACCTACATGGAAAACAAAGGCTATGGTGTAATGGTGTTTGGTTATATTTTTGAGTAGTACTAAGGAATCCCTGTTTTCTTAGATTCTCAGACTAAACAGTCAAGCACTGTTGATTTTAAAAATTGCTTAATGGAAAGGATGTTCGGCATGACCGTTAATCAACAGCTCATTGCAGTGTTCAGCATTTGATCCAAGAGGAATCAAATTAAATATCAATGCCCCCTTTTGGAGTGTGTGGAGCCTGGAATGCAGCAAATTTACAGTGAGAAGGAAAATTGTATACTCCCTTCACTAACAGTAAAATGAATCATCTCTGTGGAAGCATTAAAAATATTAAGAACAAAAAAATATTAAGGACAGTGGCAACGCTGATTGGTTGTATAATGATTTGTACTGCACTTCTCTAAAACTATTTTAAATGCGATACACTGTAATTAGAGGAATCACCTCATATGTATATGGTTCCCCTTATGATTCTTTTAGTGGGAGAAGAGGAAATACAGAATGCCAAAGCAGATTGTTTCTCATAGCTACCAGTACCAAGCTTTACTGATGATAAGAAAGTTTAAACTATTCAGAATTAAGCTAATGGACTGGGGTGAAAATGGTAACCAGGACAAAGGAAATAAACATTGAATCAGGTTAAATGATTTGTATGATTGTTTAAAAAAAGAAGGGAGGGTGAGAGGGAAGAGAGAAGCAGGAAATTGGACGACCTACGAAGGGTTTGGTAGCACGTTTGGTAGCAATAATTGAGAGGAGGGAAACCTACTCCAGCTCCTACATCCACCTCACCTAAGCTAACCTATCGGATCTGTTCCAATTATCCCAACCTGGGAGAGTTTAAAGCCAATGATGCTAAAAGGAAATAGGGAAGTAAAGAGTGTTTAGCACAGAATGGTGATTTTAATTCATCCATTAAGGTGTGGGAGAAAAGGTCGTTTAACTTGAGGGTCAAGAAATCTTCATTTGTCCCCAGGTAGGAGGTCCAAGATTGTTTGATGAAATTAATTTTGAGTGGCAGAGGGTAGTGAAATACCCTTTGGGGATTATTGAATGATGATGCAAAATGCACCAGCAAGAGAATGGAAGGACAATATTAAGGTATGAAAATTAAAGTTTGGAGCATATGAAAATGTTAGGGTAGGTTACACCAGAATCACCATGAAACTGAAGATGAAGAAATAAGAAAGAAAGAACTATCCAGTTCTTGACTTTACCTGAGTATATAATTAGAATGGATGTGATGGTGGTCCTTATCCCTGCCAGCTTAAAGCCAAATGTTTTTAAGAGACAGAGAAGTCTGCCCTTTGTGTAGCTTTAATTTGACACGCAAAACGGAAGATCTGAGAATTGCCCAAACCTTCCTTTTTAGTAAATATCAGGCAGTGTGAGATTCTGGAAGGACACAGAAAATCTCACCTTTCATTAAGGAAACAATGGGAGCATAAGAGCTAATCTCCACTAATGCTTGTTACTAATCCTCTGTGGCCCAGGAAAAAAAAAAAAAAGGCTCTTGAAAATAACATGTTAAGTATTATGATTTAAACAAGGTAGTTTCCATGATTTAAACAAGTGTCTGTTATGCCAGGAATTGTAAAAACTGTAAGAGGTTCAATATGCCAACTGGGACTGGGATTTTTTGTGATCATTTCAGCTAATGCTGTATTCTTCATCCCACTCTCAGAAGTCAAACACAGTTTTCTTGTACATGAGAATGAATGTAATATTTTGTTCATGGTCCTTCCCCAGGATATCTGACCTCTCCAACTCACTGCCACAATTGGTGAAATTGAGTTCAGACATGATTACCATCAAAATTAAGTTAATTCATTGTATTGATAACATTATGATCATTTCTATCTTGAAGGAAGAAACTCAGAAGATTTGAGATATGTAGTGGCAAATATAACTAGCCAAATGGTTCATCAATCCAGATAAAATTTAGAACTTACTGCAATCTTTGAAATTTCTAAACATAACATCGGGCTACCAGAGCTATTCTATGAACAGTAAATAATACATAACTCTCCCTCCAGGACTCTGCCAATAAAAAGAAGGCACAATACCTTTACGAACTATTTGGAAAGCTATGAAAAATATATAATGGGCAGTGGCCCAAGAATGCTCCGTGACCCTCCCATTCTAATACGTTCACCCATAATTTTCGAAGTTTCTGACAAAAGAATACAAGCAGATTGGAGGCTTTGACTAAAATACGATACTGCCGCCTTGTGGCGGCCACTGGGATTTTTTTACTCAAAAATTTCCTGATGGTGGCGCTAGAGAGCCGGTTTGACAGCATGCTGTTGGGCTCTAATGAAAACAGTCCCCCATAACTTAAGAGGAGCAAATTATATTAAGACCTGAACTACATATGATATGATATGGGTGATGTCAGAAAGAAATTGTGATGAAGAGGAAGCTGCACAACAAGTTCTCAAATAAAATGTAATTCGTGTCATGAGAGGGGTCTCTGAGGAGCTATAACACACCCATGACCAAATAGCATCTCTGCTTTAGGACTAATTCATCGTCCACTTCTCTTGCTGACCAGTTTAAACCTCATGACTTTCCTTTCACCAAAATAAAACAAGTTTCTTGGTTCATCCGTGAGAGGTCCTGTATCATAAAAACTCCAATGTAAAAGTCAGCTACCATTTGCTCTATGGGTGGTAAAAACCCAGTGAAATTAGGCAAAGGTAAGTTCATGCAAGGGGCCAAGTTGAGGGCAGTATACTTGACAGTGGAGGAAGAACTTAGTTTTTTTACCTCAGGGCAATGTCCGCACGTTTCAAGAGTCGTGGACCAGTCACCAAATGAGAATCTTGGTGAGTGAACATAAGAACACTCCCAGTATAGGTGATAAAATTGTGGAAGACCCTAGGAGACTTCCCAAGGAAGATTCTAGTGGATCATAGAAATGCCCACGACAAGAATTGAATTGGTTCAGGAGGAGAATGGAATGCCAAGGTGATGCCCTGCCACTTTCTAGAAGTACCCATGTGGGTAATTTTTGTGGGTACAGTGGTGCCAAAGCCATGCAATAGTGGGTGGAATAATGATATATTCCACTTGTCTCTTACCTGTGCCACTAATGTGGTAAGAGACTGTTGAATGCTAATAACAACAACAAAATTAGC